TTCCAATCGAGCCGTCATATAAATGACAGAATCCGCCTTGCTGATGGTGTTCAGAGACTGTAACTAAATAGAGTTTTGGCAATTTGAGTATTCTCTTACAGGAATGGGAGTCTCTGGTATCAGAGTCTGCTGGTTTGGCAACGCCAGATCAAGGGTGAACATCTGGAGAATGGACACATGACTTGATGTGATGGGACATCTTCTGCTTTTGGGTAGGGGTGTTCGGAATCATTCCTGTGCTTAACAGCATAACGCGGCCTCCAAAGCATTAACAGAAATATGCTTCTATTCAAGACTAATAACCTGCTGTCACTGTCTCATGCAGTGAGACATGCTTGGACTTGGGAGACCAATGCCGTGTGTGGGAAAATAGAGCTGGAGGTAGAGTGAAGAGTATCAATAAAATGAAAGAGCTGCATTATTCTAGGAATTACTTCATGTGTAAGAAGCTAACTGCTTACAACTCAAAGCGATCAACTATCTGAATGTTTATCAGTTGAACATTCTTGTGCTAATTGTAGCTATTCAACAACAGAAATCTCAGCACATGGGTTATTCAGAATTCTACATTATCCTGGTAACAGGGAATACTATGGAAGAGATTATTCACTTTTACTGCGCAGTAAATCACCATGTGCTTCGAAAAGATCCGAAATGGTTAAAAAATGTTGAGTTAAGATTTATTAAGCAAAATAAGGAAAACCAATTAAAATGTGGCATCCATAAACTGTGATATATCCACAGACTGTGAATTCAAAAGACAATTTTCACCTGGACTGAAATATGTCTACCTAATTAAAGATCGAAAGTCAATAAAATATCTGCTGAAATCACTTACATTAATTAGTCATCTTTTCTAATGTTCTCTTTTGGCTTGTGCTGCATATATATTGTTGCAATAGTCATTTAACCCTTCAAGGCCCACTCTCCTGCTCGAATGGTCAACACATCTTTTATCTAGTTGCATTGCTTGAATATTGCTTGAGTTTCATTTGGAATGAAGATTGCTTTTAACATTACCCCCTCACCCCTCCGACCACCAAAAAAAAGAAAATATGGAACAACAGTTTAACTTTTAAGATTATGTGAGAGAAGTTTTCTATTGTACTTGAAATCCGTTAGAAAAGAATTGCTGAACTCCCCCAAAATGTATCAGAGGGACCTTAAACAACAAGTCCCTTCAGATGATCTACAAAGATGAAAGAGCTTTATGATCAGAGCCTTCTACCCTGCAAGCTTACCCTCTCACTTTAAAGGGAAACCATCAATTGTACGGCATTTTTTCACATTAATCATATGGGGCAACTATCATTGTCATTATCAATAAGAGCATGTTATAGCTTTGGCGATCCCACATCAATTCCTTGACAAGTAGCTGAGCAGCACAATGTTGGCGTTAGCTTTTATTGGAAGAAAACATTTCCCAAACAGATATTTCCACCAACTTTTTTTTGTTTGAAGGATATTTCACTCTCCAATGATGCACATCTGTTCATCTCACAAGGGAAGATACTATTCCAGAAGAAGGAAAAGTGCCAGAGATCCTGATTGTTTTGTGTATCAGAATGAATGTTTAGTGAACATTTTATTTTAAAACTGAATTGTGAACAATGCCAGGACAATAATAATTACGGGCTACTGAAACAATAAAGGTAGTGGAACAAATGGAGATTACTGTTGATTACCCAATAACTTTGTGTCGGGCATTGGAGCACGTAGCAATAGAAAAATTGGTAATGTGAATTACTGCCTGTAGTTAGGGCTTGTTTCCCAATCATCAGCAATGAAGGAAAATTTGACTCAGTTTATTTTTGCCCCCAAGTCTGCATCCTTTAATTCTGTAAGGTCTGTCTGGTTGGTGTGTTACATGGGCGAGCGAGAGTGCAAACGTGAGCGAGAGAGAGAGAGAGAGAGAGAGACACAGATGAGTAATTTTCATCCAAGCAGCAGTGTGACCAAAGTGGAACTGATCAATGGTCTTGAGATCTACCTGTGATTGTTAGCTAATGAGAATGAATTCTATGCAACAGTGCTATCATACGGATATTAGCAATGCTCCACGGAGCAGAACCATTGTTTAATAATCTAAAATCCCTCCCGAATTAACAGAATCAAAAATGAAATGCTTAAGAACAAGGGAAAAAAAAGGATATTAGCATGCCCAATATAATTTGTTATGCAGCCATTGGATAAGGTTTACCTGGATTGTGACATAATTATAGCCTCTGTAAAACAGCTGTTGGAACCATTTATAATAAAATGAGTCTGCAGTACTCTGATTAATCAGATACATCTACAGATAGGACAGGAAGCTATAAAGACATACTGCACTGGTTTAATTTATTGTCATTGTAGTTGTCAATTTAATTACTAGGCTTTATTTTAAACTGCACACAGGGTATGCAATGTTGAAACTATACAGTTATTTAAGCATTGTATTTAACCACCAAAATCCATTATGAAAACATAGGCATAATTCAAAGTGTGGCAGAGTCAAGAAACAATTAGAAGTTTCTGTGCCGCTCTCTGTTGAGACAATGAAGGAAGGGGATGCAAATGGATAATATTACACAACAACAACTTGCATTTAAATAACGAGCTTTACGTGGGTTAGCGTCCCAGAGCGCTTGAGTGTAAGGCAGCACTAGGAAATGGCAAGCAGCAGAACACAATGAAAGCCAAAAAAAAAGACTTGACAGGAAAATCTTAACAAAGCATCTCTGGCAGAGATAATGCAAAACAATTGATAGCACTTTTAATGTTTTGCTTTTAGCACACAGCACATTAGCATGTTTAATTGTTCGTCTCAGTAAAATACCGGGGATAAATGGAATTACATGATTGGTTCTATGATAATGTTTGACTCTAGTTACTCTGAAAGCAAAAGCTGGTGCAGATTTTGATCAATGTCTTTGAGAAAACAAAACACAGGAGAACTGGGAAAATACAGACTGCACAGGGGATTTTTGTTTGTTATCCAAAGTCTGAAAGGTTGTCTGCATAATAGGCAAAGATTCTCAGTAGGTTGACAAGGGACTTTCAGCATATCCTTCCATATATATTGCTGGGGAACTCATCACATGTCATTCTGTAGACTATAAATAATAAGAATAATAGTAATAATCATTGCATTTGATATGGCGTCTTATCACGTCTTCGAGAGATCTCAAAGCGCTTCACAGAATATACTGTAAAGTGAATTGACTGTATATTTTTGTGGGCAAAATCTCAAAGCCATCGTTATTAGACCCTAACAGGACCACCAGGACACTTACTCCATCTCTCAATAAACCAGGGAATTAGCAGCAAACCCAATTCTTGACAACCACAGAATTGTGACACATCTTCTACTGGACTACCAAAAAAATGCAGGTAATTTCCTGTACTCTGCTACCAGCAGGAAAATCAAACATATGCCCCACTAGACCACCAATGAACTCACATCCCTTCAACTCTCTGGGGATCGAATTTGCACAGACCACCAAACCACAAGGAAATGTGATGCGAGATCGCTACCTAAAGAGATCTCTACCTAATGTACCCAGACCTCCGTGAAGCCAGACGCAAACCCACAATAGCAGGAGCATAAAAAGTGGACGCCACAAATAGCACAGCGATAAAATTGTGGCATTTTGCATAACGATTTGCAGATCCTAATAGCAAAGTAGATTGCGAGTCAATAGCAATTCCTGGTTCTGTCGCAGTCGACCCGGCTTCCAACATCGTGTGTGTGTGTGGAGAAAGTAGGGAGATTCACTCCTGAAGTCTGGAGACTAACAGATTTGTGCCTTTACCACATAACCTCTCTTGTATTAGGTGCTTCTGTTGTACTGCTGACATGAGTTAATAATTTAAGCAGAAGTTCTTGATAAATGTTACTCCAACTACAATTTGGTGCCGTTTAGGAATGTGTGGGTGGGAGACGAGTGCTCATATCTCTCTCTGTCTCTCACAAACAACAACAACTTGCAGTTATATAGAGCTTCACCCAGGGTAGCGTCCCAGAGTGCTTGAACCAACTACTCACTGTAAATTACATGTGGACAAGGTTACGACCTGGGGTATTCTAACCGAGTTGAAATCACATGTTTTGCATTACTTCAACACTTTTATTGGCAGAAATGGTTAGATATGGCAATAAAAACTGTAGTACTACAGTACTCTCTCCAATCCCCCCACCGCCCCCCCCCCCAACACACACACACACACTATATACCTGTTTGCACAGTGATATAAATAAGGTGGATTCTGAAGGATGTCTCATGTTTCTAACACTGAATACACAGAGGCGTAGATACTGAGAAGAGAATAGAGGTGTTTGGGAGGAGGTTAGGGAGGTGGGAAGGGTGGAGACTCCTATGGAATGTAACTATTTGGGCCGAATGGCCTGTTTTGGTGCTGTACAGTCGATGTGATTCTATGTTGCTTTAGAGAATCATTCAAGCCTCAGTTGTTAAAGCTCAGCATTTCATCAACGTTAGACTTCACTTTGCATAAACCACTTGATAGTAAAACGCTTGAATCAAACCAAACCGTACCAAGCCGACTGCTAAGCTTTCGTATTTGTACCAATGAGACTATCAGCAATAAAATCCCACTATGTCGCCAAATAATGAAGCTTGGGAACACGCAGTAATTAAATCAATAGTTTATCATTCCTCTGTATGTTCTAGTTGAAAATCTGCTTGACTTAGTGAGCAACAATCAGGTACGGCTAAAAATTGGCTATAAATTTAACTGGGACAGCTTGTATTTTTCAGTATTACAACAGTGCATAAAGTAACTGTGAAAGAGTACTATTAAAACAAATTGCTGTCATGAATATTAAGAAACAGGAACTGAAAAAAAATACAACTGCATTCAAGGCACTGATTTATGAATGCCATTCAGCTTGCAAATTAAAAAATATATTAACCTCATCCTGCTAAGTGCTTGAGTGCAGAGTAGCGAATTGCTCCTTTAGTGCTCTGAGGGTTAAATTAACATTGTATTGTACTTACTTATGGCGTCTACAAATTGATCAAAAAAGCTGTATGGAAAAAGTGGCTCAGGCAGCTCTCTGAAAAACATCTTTAGTGCTCCGGTGACGACATGAATGTCCTCCCACTGGCTGTCATCCAAATTCAGTTTCTCTTCTGGGAAAACATGAGGAGAAATGGAACAACTGGTTTTAATGAAACAATTACAAGACACTAATTATTATGTTAATGTTTGCCTACTATCATCAGCAACCGTTAACAGCCTCTTGCACCTAGAGGTTTAGGACTGTGCAATTTTCCAGAACACATTCAGTGGGATACCATCTGCAGGAATGTAGCACGCAACCACCCCCAAAAAATAAGAGACCCGCACACACACACACACACACATAAACACACACACACATAAACACACACAACATACATACACATACCAACACAAATTCATTGACTGGGGATGTCGGGTATATCTATACGCATAATGGTTTTGCTGGAAGATGAACATCAGTGTTGAAAGAGATTCACAGCTATTAGTATTCGGAACGGGTGGGGGTCCGGAGTGGGTGGTGGTGGTGGGGAGGGGAGAGCTGTGCAGCGGTAGCAACTGCTGGCTGAGCTGAACTCATGGGACCGGCCTGCAGGCCTTGCATAGCCAACATGAGACATATGCTAAACATGGCAATTGAAAATGAGCTATTACTTTACATGTGTCAACTCTGCCACATACAAGGGAATTAAAGATGACTCCCCGGAACCCTCCTCTTTTTGCGTGAATTTGGTGCCGTTTAGGAATAGTGTGGGTGGTAGACGAGTGCCCATATCTCTCTCTGTCTGTCTCTCACAAACAACAACAACTTGCACTTATATAGCGCCCCTCACACAGGGTAGAGTCCCAGAGCTCTTGACCAACACCACAACCACCCCCCTCCCCTCACCTTCTTCCCCCACCAACACACAACTCTCCCTCAGGAATCAAAAATAGTTTCCCTTTCTTCCGACGTGAAAAGAAACAGTAGAAAGAACTGCACTTGAATTCAAATGGCAATGAAATCCATGGATCTGTAAATCCAAGACGATTCTTTTCTTTAAACAAATCCCAATTTATTCCCGACATAATTTGAGCCGTTCCTGTTAAAATCAAGCCTGTTATTTTTTCCTTGTGTTTTTCCTTGTCTGTTGTGATCTATTGCTTGCAATTGAACCCCATTGCATAATTTGGTGTAAAATGTGTCTCGCTGCAGAGGAAGTTTTCAGCACCCACTCGTACAGATTATCAGATCTGGAGTGTCAACTGGAGAAATCTCTAATCAGAGACTGTTCTGAAATTGAATGACGGTTTCTGAATAGTAGTCGAGATAAGCACAGAGCTGCGTGCATTTAAAAGCAAGCAATCAGGGGAGATTTTTAGGCTGATGTTGTTAAGGATTTGGAAGATATCAGCTGATATAAATAACGAACAGTCCCAGCCCATGTCCCGCTCCCTGTCCCAGACCAATTACATCTCTAGCTCGGAAGTGCCCTCTCTGTAGTTAATAGTCTGTAACTTGTAGCTATATCAAGTGCTTCTATAGCCGAGTGCAGTCGTGAGCTTCTCAAGTGCCATTGCAGTGCTACTGAACCTGTAAATATATCAGTCCTGTCTTGAGGCAAATCTGTATCAGGAGCCTCTTTGTTATTGCTTTATATTCAGTACAATTGCATCCTGTGTTGATCTCGGTATAGTGGTACAATAATATATCTTGAACTAATACACTATACAGAGGTTTTGAGGATTTCAGCAAAATGTATTTGAGGGTAAAGAATGTCTGGCATGACAGATTGTAGAGGGCTGAAAGAGATGGGAGGAAGCTTTCCAGTTTGCCTTATATTTTGTGCATTTTCTTACAAGAACTTGTGGCAGTGAGAAACTAAACTCTGACATTTAAAAGTTGCCAGGCAGATAGTTGTCATTATAGTTCTGATTGTTCATTTGACTTTACACATCTCAACTACCCAATCACTTGACTAGGTTTTCACACAATTACTACCTTGTACAATCTTCTTTCACATAGTTCTCAAGACGATTCCTGTCTTAATACGTGGATCTCGATAGGGGTCCAAGGTTCAAATACTCAGTAGAGATAATTTTCCTGGTGTCAGCTTAGCTCATTTAGTAGCACTCTCATTTCTCAAGTCAGAAGGTTGTGGGGTTTAACCCAATGTTGGGACTTTGATCTCACAGTTCAGGCTGACAATTCAATGCAGTGCTAAAAGAGTACTACATTTTCGGAGGTGGAATCCTTCGGATGATTTCTTCAGCTCTGGTAGTGGAGAGCTCTTATCAATACAGTACAATGCCATATTTACTAGGGAACGAAACTGAAGCATATGCGAGGGAGGATTGTAGAGAAACCAGTGGATGTGAAAGAATAGGTCAGAAGTTCCTACAGGCTGTTCTCTATTAACAGCAGTTCCTTTTCTAGTCCTGGGCTACAATGATTAAGAATATCCGGAGTAGAGACAACTGAATTTTGGCTTGAGATCAATCCAAACAAAGCAAATTTGAGATCCATTTTGAGAAAATTGGATTGTTTTGTATTTGGATGACACATGTGGCAGTTTGTGGTAAGCACAATGTCAGATTATCGAGCACAGTTATAGTAACAGATCCAAAGAAATTTGTGGTGGAAACAGAAACACAAATGTTATACTTTGGAGGTGAAAAAGCACCATATTATAATATAATAATTCACCCCGTAGTTTAAAAGAAATTGGACTTCTCAATCTCATAGTCTAATGTTCCCTAATTTACAACACAAATTTACATTTATAGAGTACCTTTGACATCAAGAGGCCATCCAAAGGCACTTGACAGCCCTGGCTTGGCACTTGACATGCTTAAACCAACATTTCTTGATGTATATTATTCTCTTTAAGTTACCATAATTTGTATTAGATGTCATTCCCTTGGCAATAGTAATAATAATAATCCTTGCATTTGATAAAGTGCTGTTCACATCAGGATGATGTCTCGAGCCGCTTCGCAGGATTTTACTGTAAAGTATTGTGACAGTGTATTTTGCAGGCAAACTAGCTTGTATTCATCAGTAAACTAGTAGTAGCTCCACGATTAATTAGAGAATACTATCTCATGTTGAACTCTGCCAACAATGATATCAACACAAAGACCAATTTGTTTAAACTTCTCCTTAACTCTGGAACATTAAAATGAAAATCATACACAGTGCTTTTTTTTTTGATCTTTTCAGATGCCTCAACTCTTTATAAATAAATAAAACCGAGACGTTTTCTCTTCTGTTTAATTCAGATTTACCAAATTTATTAAAAATGCGATCATTTCTCCCCAGTCGATTGTCTTTTCGTGGCAAACGTACTTTCGCACCGTTCTGACAAGTTCAGTGAAATCTCAAAACGGGAATAATATGCGCTGAACCTTCAAACCAGCACTAACCTGCGTGTGTAATGCCAGCACGGAAAATCTAATGGTAATTCAAGCTGTCAGGGCAATAAGTATTATTGCAAGTAATATTCTGCGCAATCACATAAAAAAAAGTAAAGCCACTCTCCGCAGAATGATCTCATACATTTTTGAAACCGTTGGCCGGAATTTTTTTTCAGTTGAAGTTCAAGGAGAACTTGAATAAAACAGCCAATTACAAAACTATTGAACAATAATAGTCTCCCTCCCGCCTTCCTTCCCCCCCCACACACCCCCACCACCATCACCCCTTGTTTAAATTTAGCTTTTTAAATCATTGAACTGAACCATTCACACGCTGTCCCGTTCCAGATCCCCATCTGTTTGATTGAAAACACTTCAGGAGTATTCCTTTATTACATTACATGGTTTTAATTTAAATTGACTACAGCCTAGTGGGTCTGTTCAGAACAGTCAATGCTGAACAATGACATCAAGAGCCTGAGGCCTAATGTGGCGTACAGTCGCTTTAAAGAACAGGGGTTTTCAGTTTGTTGAAGTCTGTCAACTACTTTGAGCTGTTTATTCTCACCATGGTGTCACACCCCCTACACGTCCCTTTTGAAACAATCTGTTTCATTTTCTCCTCAGTCAATTTGAAACTTACCCCCTTTAGACCCACTCCCCCAACCTGACTTTTCATGTGGACTCTGATTCTGTTTCAAACCAACAGATGAATCCCTTCCACTTCACTGCAGTGTAAAACATTTGTGTTTTATTATTCCTTTGGACGGGATGTGTGGTGGGGTGGGGGTGAAACCCGATTCTAAACTGAATGCTGATTCTGGCTTCAATATTATAAAGTGGGGGGAAATCTTGTTAGGCGGCAAATTGCCCGCAGTCAATAACATGCTGGGAGGAAATGTGCTGACTTTGTGTGGAATAAAGGCAACCCTTGTCTGCAGCCTCCATTTTAAGACGAGATCCAGCTTGGGGGGTGGGAAGAGGAGAAAGGGGGAAGGTTACAGCAGAAGCCAAGTCTGACTGTAGTTCAGTTCTTGATTGCCTGCACTTGATCAGGTACGTGGCGGACACTGTGCAGATTCCAAAGAGACAAGTGCCAAGAGATGTCCGCAGTGCCGAGTGCAGCTGGGATTACCTGGAAGATCAGCCTTGACCTTAACCAGACATGCGTTTGGTGAAGGAGTATAACATCTCCTCCAAGGAACTTTTCAATGTGGAGTAGTGTTGCTGATTGGCGTGCAGGCTAACTTGCAAAATTCCTAAACGGGCTCACTCGGGCTCACTTTGGTTGGCCTCGGAGCTCGGGTCAGGGTTAGCTATTTCTCCCCCAAGCCGGCCAAAGTGTAGAAATTAAAAGGAGGGAACAAGATTGTAAACTGCGGGGGAATATGGTGTGTTTTGCTCTGCAACCTTTCCTGCTTCACAAGTTTGGCTTTTTGGAAGTCACCGAGCCCAATCTGGCTCTCAGTCCAACTGAGATAGACTAGGATTACCACTTCCAACCCCTTTAGAAAGTATTGCAAATTAGGTTCCAGATTATCTTGTGCACCAAAACTGGATCATTCCGTACCTGTGTAAGAATGTTCCCATTCCTAACTCCATCGGATCTGAAGATCAGCACATATTGTGTGCAGAAGCACAGAATTAATGCCATTTCCTGTCTATGGTAACAGAAGGGTCCGTGCTAGTGTCAGGACTTGGTGTGATCCTCACT